CACCAGCTTCAAGGATGCTGCACATTCCTTTATGTTTCAATTTTATTAAGGCGATCCCATTCGTCCGAGGCCTCTAAAAACTAGCTTCTTTCACCCAAAGATTCACCCAATCATATATTTTCCTCACAATGTGTTTTTTATGTGTGCTATGTAAGTGTCCCCAGGCACTCTGAATCAAATTTCTTTCTGCAAATAACAACCCTAATATCCAGAAAGGTATGTTTGTTAAATATGGTAGAAGAAAATGTGATTTGTAGAAACTTCTTCAGAGGGTAGAGGTTGGAATTTGTTGTGATACCTAGGGCGGTATTTTTCAACCTTGGCCATTTTAAGATGTGTGGACTTCAATTCCCAAATTCCTCAGCCAGCTGGGTGGGGAATTCTGGGAACTGAAGTCCACACATCTTAAAACGGCCAAGGTTGAAAAACACTGGCCTAGGAGAGTGGTTTGCTTTGTGCACTATTGCAAGACCTGAATGTCCAGGCAGGAGACACATCATCCTGGAGAAGGCCTTCTAGGTGGTTGCTAGGTCATACCAACTGGACAGCATGGAATTAATCCCTTTCCTCAGTTTTTTCTTAAACTAATTTTATTTCACTGTTGACATCTTAATATCCTCTTTCTTTCCTTTATTTCTCCCTTCAGAAGTCCTCTTTTCCATATAACTGTTTTGTCCAAGATCGAATATAATTGCATATTTTATTAATTATGAGGCACTTGTATATGAAAATAAAAACCACACATTTAGAAAAGGAGGTTGAGGTACTTCCTCCTATATTTCCCCACCATAACCCTGTGAGGTAGGTTGGGCAGAGAGAGAAGGACTGCCCCAAAATTGTTCAGTGAATTTTTGTGGTTCAGGGTGAACTAGACTTTAGATCTCCCTGTTCCTAGTCCAGCAGTTTAACCACTATACCAGCCTGGCAGCCAGACTAGATTATATAGCCTAAAATCATACACAGGATTAAAAAGTTATACTATGCCTCCCCCCCCAACCCCACAAATCACCATATTATATTTGTACAAGAAGGGATCATCTACCTATTTATATAATAGAATCCAGAGTTGGAAAGGGCCATTTAGGCCACTGAGATCAATTTTTGCTCAATGCTGGGATTGGAATTAAAGCATCCCTGGTAAGATGGTTCTCTAGCTGTTGCCTGAACTCATCCAGGGAAGGGTAGCCACCACTTCTCCTGATCATTGGTTCCACCTCCCTATTGAATCATGGACAATCCAGTTCCCCAGGCTGGCTTTTGTAATGGTATGTAGGAATGACCTTGGGAGACAGGAGGAAGAGTCACAGACTAGATCATCATCATGCAAATGATATCTCAGTCCACAGAAGCAGAGGGGACATGGGAAGCGTTTCAGAAGGGACCCTCTCTAGTTTTCTGAACAGTAAAAAGAGGGGAGAAATACTTTCCAACTTGCAAGATTCTGTTAATGCGACCTTACGGTAAAGATAGAGCTAGTATTCATTGTTGTCCTTCTTGTCTGGACTACCTCAAAGGTCTAATAGCTATTGCAAAAGTGTGCCTTGTGCATGTCCTCTTCAAGTGTTTCATTCTGGCATCTTGGCATCTCTATCTTGGGTGTAATCCCTTTTGTTTATCCTCTTTAAAGTATTAACTCTAGCAGAACTGGTTATTTAAAATTGTGTTGTGGGGACATAGCATTTTCATTTAGCATTAATTGATAAAAACTGTTCAAACTCCTTTTTGTTGCTATCAGAAAAGACATAAGAAAGAACTGTTTCACAGATCTGTAGTCATTCTCTATTGCTTGCATCTGACAGAGGCAAAGATAATCAATTCCCTTTCCTTTCCTCTTATCTTTTCTTTACAATCTGGTGCATGGAATTACATGGACATCTTTTTTTCTCTGGAGCAAGTTATAACCTGTGCATTGATTCTTATAATTATTCTTGCTCTTTGCAGCAGAGGTGTTCAGTTCAGTTCAGTTACAACAGAATAAAATTTATACTATGCATGTGCATCTTTCTTTTTTTAAAATCTGCTTTTTTCTTCAGTGCAAAATTCATTGAAGGGACAGTGATACAATTGCTTGAAGAAGATGAGTGTGTAGCTGGAATCATATACAAAGATAAAGAAACTGGTGATACAAAGGTGAGATTTTCCAGCTATTCTGGTTATTCCAGTGCTCTGAAATGTCATAACAAATTAAAGCAGATTGTAATTTATAATCAGATAACTTACTGAGCTGATAGAAATAGAAACCATACTTTGAATTAGGCTATGTGTTATATAACTTACAGTGAAATTATCGTTTTTACAGCACTTACTGTTGGATGTAAAGATGTGTGCAGGGTATAGATTGAGGAGTATATAGATTTGTGAGGACATAGCAGGTGAGAAGAATTCAGTTTAGAATAAAATATTCAAAACAATATTCATTTATTTCTTTCTCACATAGTACTTTGCATTTCAGGTATTTTTGTTCTGTGGTTTAATAAGACTACCATGGCAGTTGATATAAAAGCAGGAGTCTCACTGCTAGAAAAAAATAGGACACACTTTTCCACGTTTCTAATGCAGGAGTACAGCATATGAGTTAGCATTCAGGACCCATAGAATACACTTCTGCCATTAGGATATAGGCAATATGAAGAAGAGTGGTTAACAAATATCTTGACAAATTTGCCATATTTATAAAAGTAGGCTATAAACAAATGGGGGAGAGGGCCTGTCAAAACCAGTCAGATAACAGGTTGCATGTTGTGATGCAAGCCCTGCCGCTGTGTAACTGCATCACGATCACATGCATATTGAAAAGGGGCAGGGCTTGCGTCACGAGATTCTGTCAGCCATCTTGCTGATTTTGATTTTGCTTGGTGTATATTGTCAAACTTTAAATCAATATGGTGATTTAGTCCCTATTTACTGCATTCACTTTGTATTGTAGGAGCTCCATGCACCCTTAACAGTGGTTGCCGATGGTCTCTTTTCCAAGTTTCGAAAGAATCTCATCTCCAGTAAAGTTAAAGTCCCCTCTCATTTTGTAGGATGCATTTTGAAGGTAAGTATTTCATAAATCACAAAGCATATTATTATTAAATTTGGATGCTTGTGGGTCTTATTACCATCTGCACAGTGTTTTAAGTATTCTTTTTGCTCTTATCTCCATCCAACCTCACAATAATTTCTAATAGCAACATTAGTTACTGTTGCTACTTCTTCGCGCATACATTTTCTTTAAAGCAGTTTAATCCTGCTCTTCAACCCCAGAGCCTCCCAAATTGGCTTGCAAAGAGTCATCTTCATGCATGAGTTGGGGAGAAGCAAACTACAATGGGGAGAAAACACACAGCTCAGTGAAATGACTTCTGCCTGATGATGGTTGTGGTAGAGCCTGTTGGATTTGGTCTTTCAGCCTTGTTGAAAGTATGACCCTGTGGGTTAGTTGTCAGCCAAAAATTACCCATTGCATTCAAGGCAGAGCAGGAGGGTCCTGGGAACTCTTTTTTAATAATATTTTTTTTTCTTTGTCTATAAAGAATTCTCCTCAGTTTAAAGCCAATTATGCCGAGCTTGTTTTAGGGAATCCTAGTCCAGTGCTTATCTACCAGATTTCTTCCAATGAAACTCGAGTTCTTGTTGACATTCGAGGTGAAATGCCAAAAAATCTTAAGGAATACATGGTTGAAAAGATTTATCCACAGCTACCAGGTAAGAACATTTGCGCGGGGTCTTATTATCCTTATGTCAGTGACTTGTATAGCAGTTCAGGTGGTTGTCTTAGTGTTTTAGCTGAAGAACTGAAGTTGACCTTGGAATTGTCAGCGATCTGATCTTCATTCTCTTAAGTGTATTCTCTCCTGAATCTTGACCCAAGGACAAATATTTTGGAACTCATGCAGCACTGTTGTTTGTCTTTTTACAGAACACATTCAAGAGCCTTTCCTAATAGCAATACAAAATGAACGTATGAGAGTGATGCCGGCGAGCTTTTTACCACCTTCTCCTGTTAATAAAACAGGTCTGTGAGCAAAGCATAGAATGCAGAAAACATTACAATCTGACCAAAGGCTTGGGAACACTGATGGGATTTTTTTTCTCTCAGCAGAACAGAATGCTCCTTTCTGGTGCCATTTCAGCCAGGGGGCCCTTTTTTAAAGGCTTCTGAAATAAAGTGGCCATGTATTTGTGAATCACAGGGTCTGAAACTCTTTGGGGCGTACAGAATTATTTGAATATTTCTTTGCACCTCAGCCAGTTTTTTGGCCATTGCTAATAATCCTTCCCCTTCATGGATCACTGCCTTGTCGTGGTGAAGGGGCTTGCGTAACTCAGTGA